AAAAAAAAAAAAAAAAAAAAAAAAAAAAAAAAAAAATCTGTCAAAAGCCACAAGTCAGTCTTTGTAGTTGTACAACATTATAATCCCACTAAAGTCTTGATTTTCCAGGTATTTGCTGCATAGTCAGGTTGTTCCAGTAGTTGTGGTGGTGTTTTCATCTGTGATCCCTGATGCAAAATGGCAGAGAGATAATGTGTTAATTTCTGTGGCAGAGAGATAATGTGTTTACTCTCTGGCTGTTTATCGTTACAGAACAGTTGATATTTCTGTGTGTGGCAGTGACGATGAAAATTTGAGTTGGAGTGATGAGTGTTGTGTAGTTGGCGTTAAAGTGCTTACTCAAAGGCAACTAGTAAAAGAGATTGACTTTTCTACATGTTCTTTTACAGCAAAGGACTGGCCCTGCCCACAGAGATCTCCTGAGTCTGAGAGCCAGTCTTTTGTTTTCCAAGTTTTGCATTTACTGCCTCATCTGATATGGGACAGTAGAAATTCAAAAAATGCCATTGTGCTCTAATTGACCTAGCAATTTTGTACTACTGATTTGCTTCCATTTTTATGGCCATGTTAACTGTTTCATGTAAAGTAGCTTTTGGCAAAAAATGTTTCTGTGTTTTGCATGAAGTACCTAACCTGGTACCTTTTTAGGGAGCATTCATGTGTGGTAACATCTGCAGCAGACACAAGCACATGTGACATAAAAAGGTTAAGTTGATAAATCAATAAAATTTTTTTGTGCAACATTGGTTCAGCAAGAATGTTTTATGTGCTTAGGGTAATGTCAGCTTTAGGGCTGGTGATGCAAATATGGCAGCTTAGAGACATCTGTCTAGCATATGCATTCTATTGGCAGTGTACAAACCACATTCAGGTGATAAAAGGAAAGATTCAGATTTGCTTCCCCAGTCCCGTTGTTGCCTATCTGGAGATAGGGCAAGTGTCGGGTTCATGCATGCACCCATGCACAGTCAGAAATGCCAGGGCACAGATGTTCAGAAAGCCTCTAGGAATTCAGAATAGTGTACTTTGCATGACACAATATTGAGGCAGGGAGTCTTGGTCTAGAAAGATGTAACTGTATTTTAAATATATAAGAATTACATTGTGAGAGAGTAAAGGCCACAGATGAAGTGAGCCATGATGATTGGAGCCCTGGTATTAAAAAGTAATGAATTATAGAATTGCAGAACAGTTGAGGTTGGGAGGGATATCTGAAGATCATCTAGTCTCAACACTGCTCGAAGCAGGGTGAAGCAGGGCAGGTTGCTCAGGGCCACCTCCGGTTTCGCTTTGAATATATCCACCTCTGGGCAACCTGTTCCAGTGTTTGACCACCCTCAAAGTGAAAGTTTTTTTCCTACGTGTAAGTGGAATTTCCTGTATTTCAATTGGTGCTCGTCATCTCTTGTTTTGTCAACCAAAAAGAGTCTGTCTCAGTCATCTTTACTCTGTGTCCTTCTTGTCTTGGGCAGCCCAGAACTGGACATAGCACTGGAGGTATGGTCTTAGCAGTGCTGACTAGAGGGCAAGGGTCACCTCTCTTGTCCTGGTGACATACAGCGCAGGATACATTTGGCTTTCTTTGCAGCAAGGGTGTATCACTGGCTCAGCTACAATTTGTCCACCGGGACACTCAGGTCCTTTTCTGCAAAACTGCTTTCTAGCTGATCAACTCCAGTCTGTACTGGTGCATGGTGTTGCTCTGCCCTGGTGCAGGACTTCGCGTTTCCCTTTCATGAGATTCCTGTTGGCCCATTTCTCTAGCCTGTTGATGTCCCTCTGAATGGCAACACAAGCATCAAGCACTCCTTCCTATTGTGTATCATGTGCAGACTCGTTGAGGATATTCTCTTGTGCCATCATCTAGTCTTAATAAAGACGTAGAACAGAATTGGCACCAGATAAAAAAAACACCCACAGCTGTCCCCTCATCTACCAAGACAGTAATCTCAGAAGGTTATGAAGTTGGGCAGGCGTGATTTCCCCTTTGTAAATCCATGCTGACCACTTCCAATCACTTTTTTGTCGTTAGTATGTTTGGAAGTGGTTTTCAGGAGGATTTACTCCATCACGCTCTCAGAGATCAAGGTGTAATTTCCTGTGTTTCCTTCTTGTCCTTGAAGGTAGAAGTGACATAAAGAGTTTTATTAATTGTATGGGGAAAGAAAAGAGGGAATCATCCTTCTTGTACCTGTTTTCTGTGACGCAGGGCTGAGATAGCTAATACTGCAGTGGTGACACATATTTTCAGTCTGGGAACCCCTGGGTTATAACTTTCAAAGCAGCTCAACTGGAATGGCCACATTACTCATTTATGAACTCTATAATCCTGTCAGGATAGCTTGGTAATGTTAACTAGTGACTTTGCTGTGAGACGAGTAGTCATTTTTCTGTGTGTAAAAAAAACTGATGTTTTTTGTGTCAGGTGTTGAAATTTAATTTGGTTGTTGTTATAAGAACATTACAACCTTTGCATGGAAAATGGAAGTGCTGTCTTACATTGCATCTGGAAGCCCTTTCTAATGCATGCTTAAATTTAACCTATCAGAGTTTATCTGAGTAAAAGCCCTAAAGATTTGGTCCATTAATATTCTTGCCAGGTGGAAAAAAATTAATTGGTTTTAATGGATTTAATTTGGCTAACTGACCTCTATCAACAAAATCTGGGATTTTAATATCTGATAAACAAAAATAGTTAAATGGGGAACCTTCCAGACAATATTGAAATATATATTTTTTTTCAAATATTGAAGTTTGATGCATGAAATTATTTCTGTTCTACAGCAGGCATAATTTTAGTCTAGTAATGAACACTTGGTCTATGTTGGATGCCTTTAGGAAATTATGGTCAAAAATGCTAAGTAATTGAGATAAATTCTGAGTTTAAAAAAAATGCTGGATGAGGGCCAGTTGTCATGAGAGGTTACCGTGGTCCTTGAGCTAATCTCGAAGTTCCTTTTCAGAAACTTCAAATCCTGTTTTCCACCTAGGTGGTCCTTGCCAGCTGGTACCGCATATATACTGCTATTATGGATTTCCTTGGTGTACCAACAAAGACATGTTGGACTGTAAATAGAGGAAAAGGGCTTAGTCCTGTTGAAAGCTGCGAGGGTGAGTTGCATTTTATTCTAGTTTCTTCCTGGAAACATATAATTGTGGCTTTACGTATTTCAGAAGTAATAAATATTCCTGTGTCTTTATCACTGACATGCTTTCATTTGGCTAAGCCTGTGGTTTTGGCAGGTTCACAACATAAGTGACGATCATGAAAAAAAGATACTTTTAAGAACACCAGGGGTAAGAATGTGGGCTTTGCTTATTAGATAGCTCCTCCTACCTAGGTTGAATTCTTATACTGCACTTCAAAACTTCACAGTTCTAGTCTGAGCCTTCATAATGTTGGACTGTTACAAAGAATAAGATGTCCTAAATGTAACTTGAGTCCACTGTACGTGAACTAATTTTTTTGTAGCTTCTGTAGAGTCCCCAATACATTCCAAGTTCCTACATTTCAAAAACTTACCCTCTGTATTTCCTCCCCTAATGACAACTTGAGGAGAGGGGAGGAAAGGGAAAAAGGTAACCACAAGGCTCCCTTTTGGAGAAATCCTGTGTAGTGATTCTGCTGGGAAGAATCCTCTTCCTCTTGTGACCTCCTATTCAGCATAAGAATGTAAATCTTATACCTTGATTTTGATGCCAAAGCTTGGATGCTGCCGCTTCTTTGTTTTTTTTTTCCCACATTTAAAGTATTGGCTTGTCAAGTAAGTATTGTGCGATAAAAGTGCCTTGCTGAGAAGCGCTTTTGAGATGTTCTACAGTTGGTTAAAGCTGAATGATAGATGGTGGCTTGTGAAGTTGTTTCATTTTATCATTTAAAATGTCTTTGTGTAGTGACAAGTGAGTATTTTTCCTTTGCACAAAGGCTATAAGAACTTTCTTCAGAGCTTGAATGATTCACTTTCTCTAATTTTGTCAGAAGCTATAAACAGTGAAAAATGTATAACTTTTCATTTCTGTTTTTTGTAAAAACCAAACCAAACCAACAAAAACACCAACTATTGAGACTACCATGTTTGGTGAGCATATCATCATCTTACTTTAGAGAACTCTCTTCCTGTATTTTCAGCAATGGTGAATAATCATTTCTGCATATTAAACTATGAAGTTTTGCTACCTTCTCTATAATGAATAAGGCTTTTTATGCCGTAGTGCTGAAATGATTAGAGCCAGGAGGGTTTAAAGAAATAATGGGAAAGAGAATAGCAACAGAAGTGTGAATGCCAAAGTGTTTGTGGATGAAGAAATTGAAAGACTTGCATTATTGGAAAATCTCTTGGCTTCTAATGAAACAAAGAAAGCAAAGAGCATTGTGTGTGATATGTTTAACGATGGATTTACTCCTGCAAGAGATGGGAAGTGAGAGTATAGGGAGTACAAACCTGTTCTAAAAAGATCTATGAAGTCAAAACGTAGTCTGTAGAGAATGTTCTTAGTGATACTTCTGCCTTCTATACATTGCAGGCTTTTTCTGTTACTGTTAATACTTCCCTCTTGGCTTGTTCTGTTGCTGACTGCCCCAATGCTGTGTCCACCCCTCCTCTTTTTTTTTTTTTCAGAAGTGTAGTCTTTTGATTGAATCTCCACAATAATCTTGGTGATGTTAACTTTTTTTTGTTGTCTCTTTCTGTAGATATGTTAGGGTAGTATGCTGTGTGCTGTATTATACTGATTGTATGGTGGTTTATAAGCAATATGATCTTTGACAACATGTTAACTGTTTGTTTGTTAGGGTTGGGAGACCCTGCTTCCTTTTATGTTGCTGTGATTTTTCTTTTGAATGGATTAATGATGTCACTGTTCTTCATATACGGTACATACCTCAGGTAAGGCCATTGAGACTGAGCTATTTAGTTGGTACTAGCTGTCAGTTTTTTTATGAAATTTGAAAAAGTGAATGCTAAAATATTTTTATGGGATACTGCTTATTTGTTTGTCCAGTAGTAGTGCTTTTTATTACATATACATTGTTACTAAAAAAATTACTAGAACAGAGAAGCTTTTTGTTTAAAATAAATGATGATGCTGGAAAAAGCTGTGGAAAATTTCAGTGAAGTGATATCTCATTGATACCACCAGGTTGTGGATAAAAATAAATGCTGTACAGGTTTTAAATGGCTTTTGACAGGTTTCTGCTGTTGAAATTAACAGTGTAACTGATTTTTAAACAAAGTTTGAACGACAGTATACTTTTAACCTAGACTGGAGTTTTCCCAATGCTTTGCCTCAAGTCATATTGCACGTCTTTCAATTTTAACTTAACTGAGAAGGCAAAATATTTTTTAAGATAATGCATTCTGTTGGAGATAAGTATACGCTTCCCCTTTTCTATGAATTTCTGTTTTCAGTATCTGTCCTTAAATTTCAGGAACTGTAATATACATTCATACAAAAATAGACTCCACATTCAGCAGAAAAACAGAAGTGGAAATATTTTTCTGTTTACCTCTATTTTCATTTGTCAGTTTTGCAAAAAAGCAAAAGGCTGCTACATTTTCCTCTGAGAGATGTGATTGTTTTTCCCCCTCATTCTCTGGCTTTGCTGTCTTGTGTTTTTTTTTCCTGCTCTCTCTGAAGCATGTGCTGATAGTTCAAGTAAAGAATAGTGCACGGCAGAAGCTGACAGTGAAGAGAGGAAGTTGCCTAGTGCAACTATTAGGTCTTTGGGGGTAAAGGGTATATGTTTGTCTTCCTTAATGTAGGAAATTAATGTTTCATGTTTTGAGGAAGTAGATAAACTGAGTATTCGTATCATTAACTTGTCATTTTTCTCTTAAGGGAGGTATATGGAAACCCACTTTTTTTTTATATTAATGTCATTGAAAAATCAGTAAGGTCTTAATTTCTCAGTACTTTCGTTAGACTTAGGCTGTGTTGAATGTAAATAACTATCAAGTATTAATAGTAATTTAGTTTTTAATATAAATGATCTGCAATGTAGATAGTGAAGATGGCTAGAATATAAATGCAGTTCTTTCAAGGTGTAAGCCATTAGCTGTCTGGGGTTATGAAAAAGAACAAGTGACCACGAGGTTTCCTGCATGTACGATTTTGATCTTATTTATTTATTTATTTATTCATTTATTCTGAAGAATATTCATAGTTTGATACCAGGTCTAGATGACTGCTTAGTCATTATGGCTGTTCCAAGGTTCCTGTTAGGCAAAGCAAGCCAGAATGTTTAGTCTTTTCCATAAGATGTGAAAAAGAAAAGAACTGAATCTGGAGAAATGCAGTTCTACTACACTGAAGTAGGTAATCTTATTAATTGGCCTAAGTCTCCTTCATAAAGCTGATTTCTTTCTGCTATTCATTTTGAAAGGGTTTGTCATAGCCTGACTCATTTGATGGTGGGAAACCATCTTCTAATATTTTCCTCTGTCTTTTCATTCCTGAATTTGTTAGCAGTAATCATCCCAAGCTTACATAATTGTTTTTTTCTAGTTTTTTTTGTCTGCCTCTATGTTAATAGAATGTGTAATCTTTTTATTTCAGCCTTTAGTTGCTTTTAGTCTCTTTGCAACTTTGACTAGTGATGGAAGGTGATAGGATAGTGGAAGACCACTTTCTTATCATTATTTCCCAAGCTAGCCTGTGTTCTCACATATGTGCTCATCGTACTCTATAATGAGCTTGTTCGAAGAGTTAAGCTGGCAGAAAGCTAGTTGCTTTTGTAGGACTAGTTTTTTGATATAGGACTAGTTTTTGCTGTTTAGCTCCCTTAACAAATTTCCCCACAAGGTCAAAAGATTGCCAGACATAGTATGTCCCTTCCCCTAGCACTCTGTGTATGGTCTCTGGTTATGCAAATGCACTTGGGAATCTTCTTATACGATGCAAGTTAGTCTCGAGCTCTGGAGCATTCTCTGTTAAGATAACTGAAGCAATGTGGCAAGAACTCATGCCATTTTTTAGGGTTTTTTAATGGACAAAGGAATGGTATTTGGATGATAAGTACTTCATGCAATTGTAAGATTCTGTCTCCCCCCAACCTTCCCTGCCTCTCTGTTCTTGTAGTCAAGGGACAGAATACTTAAGCTGATTGTCAAATACTGTGTCTTGAGGAACTACCAGTAAATTTCCCATATCTCCTTCTGACAGTACTTTGTCAGTATTTTGTTTCTTGCATGTTAATCAACAATGAATTACAGCATTTCCCCAGGTGACCTTAAGCTTCAGCTTATTGCACCCAGGGAGTCAAAAGACTAGTTCTTTCATTATTCCAGAGCTGACTCTACCAGACAAAGTGTAACTCTTCGGGTCATCTGCAGTTCTTTAAAATTATTTATTAAATTTAGTTTATTCTGTATTATAAACATCGGGGAAGTAGGTTCCAACTGAAGGGCATGTACTTCACCAATTGTAGTATGGTGTGGGAGTTTCAGTGGAAAGAGTTATCCTTTATCTTTTATATTGGCATAGAAAAGCTTAACTACTATATCTCCTACATGATGGCATTGCACTGTTAGAAGATAACCAGTCTAACTCAACACTATACATAACCCACTGTGAAATAGGCTCTGTTCATTTCCTTTTCTGGAAAAGATACTGACAAAGTACATTACCCTATTCTGTGCTACAGATTTCCGATCTTTTCTCCTGTGGTAAAATAGTGATCCCTTATAGAGGCTGATAGCTCTAGAGCATTCATAACACAATTAAGACCTTTGTATTCTAGACTTTAAGGTTTTACCACAATGTTAACCTTTAGCATAGACCTTGAATTTTGTTTCTGGTTTTGGGTGGGTTTTTTGCAAATTTTTAGTTTACTTTGTTTCTAAGACTAACATTTTTTAATATTAAGCATATTCTTTTAGTCATTTTGCGTTTCAGTGTTGATGCTTTTAGAATTTGGAATGAAAGGTTGAGTTTTGTGTGCAAGAATGCACAATTCCTGGAGGTTGTTTTAGCACTCAGCTGGTATCTTTAATCCTCAGATTTTGTACCCAGAACTCACTGATTCTGTTTGACTTGTATATTAGTGATGGGTGAAGGATCTGAGAGGATCTGAGGTTTGTTTGTTTTTTTTAAAGAATCTTCACAGCTGACTGGTACTTTTGTTTAGTAGCAAAAACGGTATATTCTGTCATTCATAGTAGTAGTGCACTTGTGTGCACAAAAATGTTCTTTGCGTTATATAACAGGACACGAGTAATTACAAATCTAGTCAAACAAATAGGAACCTTATCTGTTGCTGTTTTGAGATGGGGTAAATCTAAGTAATATCTTTGGTTTTAGTGTTGACTCGATGGTGCTGATTATTCATCAGGTGAATTTGATGGGTTTAGAAATGTATAAAAATCCTTATGTCAAGGGCTTAAAAAACTTTCTTATGTTAACATCACAGTATTTCACATAAGAATTAAATTGTATCTTGCATTGACCATGTAATGAGTTAATTTCTAAATATGTTTTTTGAATGTGCTTAATTTGATTACCCTAACATAGTCTTAGATTCAGACCAAAATTCCCTGTTGGGTGACTGTCCGTGCAAATTCTAAAGTTTTCTGCTCAACACCTTAGGGAAGAAATAATCCATTTATATTGCCTGGTGTTTAAAAAAAAAAAAAAATTTGGCACTTTTCAAGACCAAGCTCTGGGTATGGCAGATAAAGCACCAGATGTAATGATCTAAACCACAGTTTGTGAGGAGTGGAATAGCCGTTTTCCAAGTTACTTATGTTAAAATTGGTGCTCTGCAGAAAAGGGCTGATATATGAAGAGTGGTCTGCTCTGAAATAAACATTAGCTGACTTGTATTTTAACGTTGTATGTACACTGTAGATTGCTTTCCCTTGATGCTTGAAAGCATTCCCCCCCCAATAAACTTAGCTGTACATAAGTGCCGTTTTACATTTTTTTAAGCAGCACTGACCATTATGAGATTCTGTTGTACCTATTTTTCCTGTTCTTTTCACAGTGGGAGCCGTCTGGGAGGCCTTGTTACTGTGATGTGTTTCTTTTTCAACCATGGAGAGGTAGGTCTCCCTCCCCAACCACTGCCCCCCACCCCTTTTTTTTTTTTTTTTAATTTTTTAAGCTAATTCTCATTTCATTAAAGATAGTCATATTGCTTATCTATTAAGGGATCAATTTAAAAGGAATAAGACATTACTGAAAGCAAAATAGGCTATGACTCGAAAATGTATAGCACAGTCCAATGTGTCTCCTTAGATGTTAACAAAAAGAGTAGTTCAGAAAGGAAATATATTGTAAAGTGGTGCTGAGATTGAAGTCTTAGTAGCACAATGACTTCAAGTTTCAAAACATCAAAATATTCTGGTTTTGTGCCCATTCCAGACATAACGGGGCTACATGTACCATATGAACAAGCTTCAGAAATGGAGTAGGTTTTCTTTAAATTGCTATGTATTTTACTGGAAATTCATGAATACATACACCAAAAAAAAAAAAAGGCAAAGAAACCTCTGTAGTACTGATATGGTACAGCCAGGATAAACAGAATTTAGAAACTGTATATGTTTATAGAGAATTCCAATGCTAAACTTCTTTAGTAAGCTGCATTACAAAAAAAAAAAAAAACCCACACAACCAAAAAGCACACAACCTGTCACTTAAAACATCTCCCTGTGTCCCCAGCTAATGCTGTTCATGTCATTGTTTCATATTTTGGAAGAAAACTCATGGCTTTTATTCTGATACCCTTGGGCAGTGTTTCTGGGTTTTTTTAATGTTCATTTTATGTATATAAATTTATATAAATATTTGTTTTATTTTACTTAAAATGCAGCTGTACTGTAAAAATTTTCTAGATGGAAACTAGCTACCTTATGATTTTGTTAAGGGTTAAAGTTAAGTTTTGTTTTCTTATTTTACTGAGCTGAACTTGATAGAAAACTGAGTAGTGAGAATATGTAGTTGCCCATAACAGAATCAAAGATGCTCCTATTCATAGTGAGCTTTGACAGTTTTCTTATACAACAAAAATCTGTGCAATGAAATAGCTATTTTATTTCTAAGTTTCAGTTGAAATGTTTTTCTCTAAATATCCTCTGTGAAGAATTTTTACCCATGGATGTTAACTGCCTGGTCCAGACCAGGTAGATGTTACAGAGTTTCTGAACTTTTTTTGGTGCTATTAGAGGGTAAATACAAAGTTTGTGTGGGTTTCCATTCCTTTTAATGGCATTCTGAAGCGAAGTGAATGTTTTATCCTTTGCTAGGAAATACTAATAGTACACACTGTTTTGCCATGTGGCTGAAGGTGATAAAGTGTAACTTCAGAAAGGAACAAGTTGAAAACTTCAAAGATAGTGGTAGCAATAATGAAAAGAAACATTTATTTCCCTGTGGCACAGGCAGTTCTCCTATCCATAGGAGACTGTAGGAGAGCTCAGCTCTCTCTATGGATGACTTGACTTGGGGGAAAAACACAGATAATGTGTGTGTTTTGGAGAACGACACGAAATTTGCATTTGTAGGGTACCTAACGAAAGAGTTGTTCGATACTGTTGCGTATATAGAGTTATGGTAATATATGTAGTTACACATATGTAGGTGGTCTAGCTTCACTGTTCATACTGTTGAATCACATGCAAGGGGTGTATATGCGCGCGCGTGTGTATAAAAAAATTATTTTATTTAACTCTTCGATATGCCTTTGATTCCATGGAAATCATCTTGCATGTGGTTCAACAGTATGTACAGTGCACCTAGACTAGTTGCTAAAAATTTGCTTTCGTTTTCTGGAAGGATAGGACTGAGCAGCATGAGTAAGCCTGATGTGCAAGTCTTGGGATCTCAGATCTAGTGCTGTGTAAAAGTGATTAGCCTTCTGGCACTGAGCTGATGATCCTAAGGCAGTATGTTTTTATTTGTGCTCTGCTTGTGCTACTGTGTTTTAATAATTTCAAGCTTAGACAGATCTGATTTATTTATACCTGCAGCAAAGTCAGTTTACAGTCTTGATAAGTCATCCACAAATGATTGAGTTTACTATTACATTCCAAATATAGAAAAATAGCATGGGCTACATTAGTCAATCCACTTTTAAGATAATGGTGCCTTTTTATGGTTGTATATGCTCATCATTTCTTTCCTGTCTTTATCTCCTCCAGTATCAAAAGATTTGGTAAATCAAATGTTGCTGTAGTCTTGAAAAATAATCCAAAAGACTACACTGCTTTAGAATAACCATGATTATATTTATTGCTAATAAAAGTAATTTTAACTAATCACATCTGTGCAGTTAGCTGAAGACAACACATTAGTGTATATGTATTTATGAAAGGTTTCTTTTAGTGGTAATCAGGTGGCAGCTTTTACTGAGAGTGCTTTTAGACAGCAAGGACTGATTAATGTGACAGGCTTCTGTACTTCGCATTTGTTTTACACTATTTCTATACATTTATTTGACACTTAATATATTGGTGACATAGCAAGACAATAAGCAAGGAATTTATAATGTTTATTCTAGTGACTTCTTTGGTAAAACAGTCTTTTAAAAAATGGTTTTAAGATTATAGGAAGCAAAGGACGAGGAACATCCTGGCATCAACATCCTATAAGCTTTCATAAATTCATTATGGTCCATGTTAAGATGAACTACCTTTTTGTCTTGTAGTTGTAAAGAACCTGCTTCTAAATTTTAGGGCAAATCTATTGATAGCCATTTTAAGCCCATTTGTTTGTATGTCAAAGTTGTCCTGTAAAGTAATTATTTCTTTGATGGTTAGTGCCATCTGCAAGCATTTTTTATAGAGTATATAATGTATATAAACATTGGAGATGACAGTTATAGCCGAGCCATTTGCCATGAACCCTAAGAAAGTAATAAAAAAGCTATTCAGTTGACTTCTTTGTATTATGGTTTGCTTTATTAGGGTTAAAGAGTGAAGTATCTAAGTTAGTATAAGCTCTGCAAGAGGTTAATTTCATATGTTTAATTTTACTGGCCTGTTTTGGAGGGCAGCTTCAGATTTTATACTTTCTGTCCTGTTGCTAGTAGAAATGTGAAATGTTTATAACCTAGAGAACTCTAGCATAATGAAGAGTATGTTCATTTATCCTTCAGATCCTGTCCCCACACACTTTCTCTGTCTAAGTGTGGCAAGTCAGTGCTTGAATTTGAGAATGGTTTTAGTTACTTGAATGAGTTGTTAATTTCAGCAGAAGCAGGGACAAGCAGCTGCTGTCCTGGCTGTTTTCTTGGATGTTCTCTAGCTGCCACATTTAATTTTGGAAAAGCAGTGATCTATTTTAATTAAACAGTGCATCATAGAGCTCAAGTCTGGAAGCCGCTTCCTTTTTCCTCCTCTTTTCTGCTTCCTGGCTTGTTTTTTTTTAGGTTTGTGACTAAAATCTCATGTAGCTTGGGTTTTGCTTTATTGAAGTATCTGTGGTCATTCATTGTGAAATACAAATGCATTGTTTTATGGAAATGTAGCAGCAAATGTTACCATCTAACCCAGTTCTTATTTTTAGTGCACTCGCGTCATGTGGACTCCACCTCTTCGTGAAAGTTTCTCATACCCTTTCCTTGTGCTTCAGATGTTACTTTTGACCTATATTCTCAGGTACCTCTTAATTTATACTTAACTCTTTACAAGGATTTAAAAAATGGAATGTCACAGGACATTTATTTAAATGCATTTATTTAAATATCTATTTAAGTGCCTCTGTGCTGTAGCAATGATATCATTAACATAAAAACTTTCCTGTGGCTGTTACATTGCAGACGCTGCACCAGTAGAACTGCAGTCATATTACTCACTTATTAAAAGGAAAAACTTTGCAACTTGAAGACATGATTAAAATAAAAATCAGAATTACGGTGTTGGCAAATATGTATCTAAACTAAAAAAATCAGAATTTTTGGTTGATGTCACTTCCTTCCCCTGAGAAACAAGCTGATACTCCATCAATTGGTTTTGTCCCTCTTGGAGAGTGGTATGTTGGTTGCACTTAGAATAAGCCTATGCTATGCAACAGAGGATGCTATAGGCACCCATAAGCTAGTATGTTCTTGTATTTTTCTATGACTAATTAACTAGTCTAATTAACTAGTTCAATGATTTAGAGCAATCTAATTACATTAATGCAGGGATGCTCTTGAGTTCATTAGCCCTGCTTTTCAGTGGTTGTTTCTGGCTTGCAACATGATTGTGTTACTGTCTTGCCTATGTTTTGAAAAATAAGCATGGTCGTTAATACTTGAGGGCTTTTCCATCAACTCCGTTGCATCAGATTTGCAGTGTATTTATAATCTAGATGAACTTTGTACTTGTAACCCTAATTTTTCCTTTATTAGGTCATACTGATTTGTAGTTATTGATGATTAAACCAAAAATATTTTGTCCTCGTCACTGACTTGTGTTTTTTAGGTGAGGAAAAGATACATGCAGTCTAGAAAAATATTTTGAGGAATAGTTTGCAGAGTCATTGCTAGATTTCATATTAGAAAGACACGTGTTCATTTAATGCTAAATTGTGAGGTCAAACAAAAAATGAGGAAATTACACTTGAAGTTGGGGTGATCAGAGCACATATATTCTGTACCTATAATTATGACACTTCTTGATTAGATAGATTCACTCCTGTTCTTCAAATCTTGGTACATAAAATAGTGCTTGGGCTTGCTTACCGATGAGAAGTAGATATTTAATTTCAGCATTTCAGAGTGAGGTTCCAAAAAGGGGATAAAACATTTTAACTTTCTGTTTCTCAGTTATAATTCCTGCTTCAAGAGCAGCTCTGTTTTATGTATAGCAGTGTTCCAATGAAATATAGAAACTATCTTTGAAACAGAGACTAGAACTTAAATTCTCCATTATTTGTATCACTTGTATCACATTTGTATAATGTATTACTTAATACATTAGACTCATGCTCAGCATGACTTCCAATAGAAGTTGATCTTGAGACTTTGCAAAAGAAGCTGAAGAAAATTTTACAGATTTTGGTGAGACTGCTGTAATCTGTTGGATTTGGGTTTTACAGCAGAATATTTATGGTGTCTTCATCTGTTGGAGGCCATTTAGTGAAATTTGAAGCATGACATGTTTCCGAAGTGAACTCGAAGTTAACACAGGATTAAATAAATAACACTTATAGCAGGACATAGAGAATGGGCTGTTTTCAGTTAAAGATGAGTTTCATGTATTTGTCATTGTCTCCTGCCCCGAAACCTCACTCAGGATTGCTAGCAGAAAGTTGCAGAAAGTAAATATGGAAGAAATGTGAGAGAGAGGAGTGAAATCACTTTCAAATGCAGACTGTTCTGAGAATAGTTGTGATCCCAGCTGAAATGGAAATGGTTGTGACCTGACTGTAGAGTTGTTACAAGAAGGTGGACCACTGCAAGTGACATAGTTTGGCCTGCTATATTACATGCTGCCAGGAGAAGACTTGTTTGGTAATGAGTGACTCATCAAATAGTTACAAAATATTAAGCATCAGAACTGTTGTTTTTGGAAACTGATAGAAAATGGATATTAGATTTACTTGAGCAGTGTGATTTGTAGTTGATCAATATTGCCAGCTAACTTCCAAGGTAACTTTGTTTTTATTGCATTCTCTATTGTACTTTTCAATAATATGCAAACACCTGTGTAATTTTACTTACTGATGCCTATTCTGTCTCTTTTTCCCAAGGATTCCGAATATTAATACAGGAAGCTTGATTGCACTGTGTGTTTCTAATATCTTTTTCATGCTTCCCTGGCAGTTTGCTCAGTTTGTTCTTCTAACACAGGTAAGAGCATATTCACTTCTAAATAGCCTCTTTGTCTTTTTTAGGCAAATTGACTACTTTGTATAGACAGCTGCTGAATTCACAACTATACCAATGCTTTCCTTTTAGCCAGATTTCAGTCTTGCTTTCAGGAAAGATTCACACCATTTATTCCATCAATACTTTTCTAGTCTTAAATTTAAAAGTTGACCATTTACACCACTCAGTCTTCTGTTTCCAGGACTAAAAAATTTACTTTTTTCTTAAAAACAGCCTCCAGCCTAAGATCAGTACATTAGAACAAGTGCAGAACAAGAAAAAACTTTGTATATTGACAGACAAAAATTAAAAAGGCATTGACCTTGCATCTCTTTGGGCTATTCCAAAAAAATTAAATGGAGTGATGTTTGCATGGCATGTAATATCTGGCATGATTTTGCATGATTTCCTGCTTAATTTTGATGAGCCTGTGTGTAGTGGCATAATCTTACTGTCTGAGAGTTCAGACAGTTGAGGTAACTTTAGGTAGTGTTGAAATATAGTAAATGCTAATGTGAGCAATAGGATACTGTCATACAGCATACTTTTTTAGTGTTTAAACTGATTGAAATGTAGCCTGTTGATTGAAATCCGTCTATGTCTCCATACCTTTTCACTTGTTTGTCCTACTTGAAGCAGATGTTGCTTGGTTTGAGTTGATAGTCTTGAACAGTCAATATATGCTGTGGTATGCAAATTTTCTAACTGCAGAAGAGGAAGCCATTAAATTCTGTAAAGTACTGTGAGAAACTCATTGCTATAACCTGTTTAAGATGCTGGGCCTGAAATTTGAAGTTACAGGTTCAAGTCATAATTTCATTAATTTCCCATCTGACTTTTAGCAAGCTGCCTCATTATTGAATCTCGTTTTCCTCAGCAGCAAATTATGGATGTTCCTATACTTTGCTGAAAAGTTAAGGTTAAATAATGTTAATGAATGATTTTTTGGGTTTGTTTTGTTTTAAAAATCTAAGGGTGAAAGATGATGTGTTAGTGCTGTGTTCTGATGACTTGCATTTTTGTAAAGCTGAATACTTATTTCTTAAATATTCAAATATGTTTGATAATTGTTATTCAGAGCACCACAATAGGTTTTTTGAAAGAAATCATTATGGATTGGCTAAGTATTTATTTAAAAGAGCAATAAAAGTTAGTTTATGATTGTTTAAATAATCACTTTTTTGTATGAATGTGTATTCTGCTAGAAAGAATACACCACTGCAAATTGTTTTAACTTATCTTTCACTTTTGATTCTAGATAGCTTCATTATTTGCTGTGTGTATTATGGGTTATATTGACTCCTGCAAATTACAGAAGATACTCTCTGCTCATATGGTAATACTTTTTTTTAAAAACTTAAATCCCCTCAAACAGGTCAGAGCATCAAAAGAAGCCATTTGTCTGAAGTGTTTTCCTTAGTTGTAAGATGGTTGAAAAGATGCAATAATAAGGGAGGGAGGGGCCTGGATTTGAATATTTGATCTTATGTATGTTTATATCACAGTGTCAGAAACTAGAATCCCTCTGGCGCACAGGAATTTTTGAACTCCAGAAAAATTATCAACCTAAAAGATTTGTAGAAATGTTTGCCTCTCCTTTCTGTCTCTACACATTCCATGGACTTGAAGATACTGTCTAAAACAACAGACTAGAAAACATACCAAGTAATAGAGCGTAAGCAATAAAAAGTTGTAAAGGCGGCATTCATCTCATGCCATAGGTTAGTAGAAACAAAAGAATGAGATGTTAGTAAGTCAAAACTTACTCTCAGTAAGTCTTTATCGCTGAAGGAGAAGAACGCCAAATAAAACTGGGTTTTGAAGGCTACTGTAGTCTTGACCATGCAGAGATGTTCTGGTTGAACTATTTGGGGAGACAGAAAGGAGGACAAAGGAACTAGTCTGAGGAAAAACTATTGTTTCAAAAATGTTTGAGAAAGTCAACAAACGAAGGAGACAATAAATAAAAAGCATGTAAGTTTCTGTGTAATAGATCTGATTTTCATTTTTAAAGTTAAGATAATGATCAAATTTTGCTACCAGGAGTTTTGCTCTTTGAAGCGAGATTACGGTTTTAAATATACAGGAAGATGTAAACAACTTTTTTGAAGAAGTACGGTTGCCTTTAAAAATATATTTTTGCTAAAATTGTGCTATGCAAACTCAGTGGGCAAAAAGAGAATGATTACCACAGGAAAGAAGTTTTGGGCTAAATTGTATTTCATATGTTTTCAAACATATTTTGAAATACTGTAAATGGTAAATTAAAGGCAGTAAGTTCTATTCAACTCATTTCTGATATAAAGGTGGGACACCAAATGCTTGTTCCCACTCAGATTTACTAGGAAAATTTGCAAATAAGCATCTTGGTTTAGTAATTTTTTTGACAGAAGCAGGATGAATTACTTAAGCCTTTTGGCTTATGTCAATAGCTATATTGTAATTTTGGTGCCATAAAAAGCCTATTTTCAGATCGATAAACTAATGATGTTACATTACAGAGGAAGCTTAATGAGGCTGGGTAAACTGCCAGTCTTTGTTTTGTGGTATTTTCAATTTTTGCTCCCCCCCCCCCCCTTTTTTGGGTGCCCCCCCCCCCCCTTCATTCTGTGGAAAATGAAAGTCTAACTGGGGGGGAGGGTACAAAAGCCTTCATATTTTACAAATAACGACATTATTTTTCCTTATTCCTGTGTATAAAAGAAGGCAGAGATTGATCATTGATTTTGCTCTCCAAGTAAGAAAATAGAATTCACTTGCTTTCTATTAAAAAGAAAGCACAGTAGGAGGTGAGGATGGCAGATAAAAGGTGTATTTCAGCCTTGACTTTCAACCTCATGTAGTTAAGTGCGCGTAACCAAACAGTCAAAGTTCTGCTTTCTGGACTGTGGTGATGATTATATTTTAAATATATGCTTCTCAGTTTGGAAGACAGAAGACAACAAACATTTTATTCAACACTTCTGTGTTTGTCCAGAATTCTGAAAGATAACAAACAGGATGGAGATATAATACAGTAATTTGAAAAAAATGAATATGTTAGGAATAACTTCAAAAATGTAGCTGATATATCATGTAAGATGAGTTAGTCCTATGATCAAGTGTTTTTGTCTATAAGTACTTTTAAAATGTAAATTAACATAATAATCTACACTTGGCTACCTGTTGCCGTTAAGTTCTTATAATCAATGTTTTCAGAACAATTCTGTAAGCTGAGTATCAAGCTTGCACTTGCTGTAAAGTAGGTTTCTTTAAATTTAAAGCTGTTGATACAAAGTAATTTCTATACTTGGGCAATTCTTTCCTTTTCTATTTTAAATTTTATTATTTTTATTTTCTTCTTTCAGGTATCTCTTGTAGTGTGTTTTATTCTGATGTTTGGTAATTCAATGTTATTGACATCATATTATGCTGCATCTTTAGTAGTTATCTGGGTAAGTTGTTTAAGAAAAAAATCATATGACATGCTAAGACTGTAATGGTGTATTGTTATGTATGTATTGATGTAAAATGTGAAACTACTGCATTACAAGATAGTTGAGAAATCTTTCACATGACAAACAGAATTAGACCTTAAAGATGTTTAGAGAATGGGTAAATACTAATTTAAAAAATCATGGTTTTACACCAAGACCTCTTCATAAGAGAAATTGAGTTAAGGCTCACTTCTCTTGTTTTTGTAGCTCTCTTCTTTTTACAAAAATATAAAATTTACCACATATGTATTTTTGACCAGAATAATCGTAAAACAAGAACATGAGCAAGGACGAGTTTGTTTTAAACGCTTCTTTATTGATTGTGAAACTGCAAATGCAGAACAAATGACTAAAACATATATAACATTGGGTTTTAGACTATTTGAAACTGCTGAGTCATACTGCCACGTTAGTGAAATTATTCACTGAAGACTCATCATCTTATCATTTACTGTCTTAATTTTTCCTTAAATAGGAAAACCAACCCCCAACGTCTTTCAGTTTCATACATAAGATTGTGTGAACAGATCTAGTTTAGCATACTGCAAATCATCTCCATTTCTGATTCTTTTTGCCTCTCCTAGAAGCTTGGGGTGAGCTCAGTGATTTTTTTTTTTTTTCTTTTTTTATATTTTATCCATTGGCAAAACAGTGGTAATGTCTCACGCTAAGAATAAGCTGCCTTGGCTACAGGTATTTGCTGTAGTATAGTTTGCTTGTTATAAACCCACTCTAGTTTCTTGTAGCAGCTTTTGTAACTGTATAGTAAGTACAGGTACATTGAATTTCTTGCTTATTTTCTGCTTTGGAAAAATATTTATTGTTTGTCTGTTATTTGGGTGCTTATAGTAGCCTCAGTCTTAGTGTCACATACGGACTGGGTTTCTGAAAGCTTTTAAGTTCATTCTCAGTTTTTCTTAATTACTTTGCTCATCAAATTAGTTTAAAGTGAGTCTTCCTTTTGTCACAATATGAGAAACATAATGTGAGACAGAAAAATACCAGTAACTTCTCCCGCCCCCCATATTCTGTTGCCTTGTTTGAAAATTGTTTATACTATGCTGCCAGTAATTTATTTGTTGCTGCCAGTAATTTATTTATTGCTTCAGGTGTGTCTTGTCATTTGTGGAAGCAGACATAATTCAGTTTCCCAGTGGCTTTGATTTAAAGAAGCTTAGAACCGGATAGTACAGAATCTTGTTAAGGAGAAGAGTAGTCTTCCATTAATTGCATATAAACTGCAGTAAGAGTTTTTATGTTGGCATGTTTTGGCAGTGCAGGGTGAAATCACCATATTCTACATTCATTCATATTTCAGGTCGTATTAATTATGGAGGGTTTTTTAATAAATAGCTGTGTGGTACAATAGGTGCTTACCAAAACAAAAAAAACCCTCATCCAAGGTACTGGAATATCTTCTTGTTACTATAAGTTCCCTGAAAATGTACATTCATTTTATTATTAGGGAATTCTTGAATTGAGTCCAAAAGTCTTGAAGAGTGGCAGAAGAGAAGTCTATCTATGGGTAAGGAATTTCATATATTTTGAATTTCAGAAAAGAAGTATGACTTTTTTTTTTTTTTTTGGTTTAATGAAATAGAGAAATAAGTTGTGGTTTAGTTTCTAATACTTGAAAAATCAAGAAATATAGCTGAGCTACTCTCTTTAAGTAAATTGTCCATATTCCCAGAAATTAATCTTAAATTACTGAAGGAAGAAAAGGGGCATAAACATACATTTGTATCAGAAAATTGAAATAGCCTTCAAATGGCAACACATTTAATTTTAAATTACCAACTTAAACATGTTTACAACACCTAAGATCTGTATGAAAATCCCTTTAAAATAAAGGGCAATTTAGAAAAGGCAAGTAAAAGGCTAACAGTGCTTGCAGAAATGGAGATTAAGATACTGCATTAGATATTCTCCTATATAATTTTTTAAGATGTTTTTTATAACAGCAAGCAACTTAAAATTACATAACGAAGTAAAGGAAGCAAGTCGGAGTAAAACACTGTAAGGTGTTTGGGTGGGGTTTGAGGGCAGTGGAAGTCATGTCCAGACATGGAGGACACCCCCAAAACTAGGACAAATAAAATACAACGCTGTAGAAAACATGAGAAGCAACTTGCTGCTTAAGACATAACATTACCTTGTAAAAACACCTGAAGTGGGAGCCTACCAAGACTATGCCTGGCTTAAGACCAGCATTCTTGTTAAATGAAGAGTAACCTGTTAGCAAAACCGGATGGAATTCATACAGTTATTATAAAGGAATTAGAATATAAAGGAATTAAAAAATATATTTATAACAAACTGCAGTGCATGTATAACCTGCCAATGTAGTTAGCTGTGGTACCAGGGGAAATGGAGTGTAGGCAAATCTCATGTCATTTTTTAAAAAGGAGATCCAAGGTGTTTGTGGAACTGCAGACCAATAAGTCTAACTTTTGTAAAGGAATGAAAACTTCAATAGTGATGAAGTTGTTAAAGCTATATGTATATGCAGTATAATGAGATAGGTCCGATACAGCCTCTGTGAAAGGAAGGCATGCCTTGCAAATGTATTTGACTTCTTTGAAGGATGTAGATCAGGGTGTGTGGGTGAATGTAATGCGCTTGAAACCTTTTGGGGAAGATATCTAACTGGAACTATAAAAGCAAGTAAGCTCCATGGGATAAGGTGTGAATGTTAGAAGGTAAGAAACAAAGGGTGGGATTAAATGCTAAGTTTTCAAAAGAAGACCACCACCACCCTCAAGTATGTGTGTAAAATAATTGATCCTAAATAAGTCCTTGCCACTCAGCAGAGAATTCTTGGTATTCTAATGAAAAGTTCTCTGAACACATCAATTCATTACTGAGCAGGCATCAAAAAGGAAAACAGATGATGGAAGTCATGGAGAAGGAACTGTAGAGAAAGCAGAAAATATTTTTTTTTTTTATTTTGTAAACTCATACTTGGTGTCCTAAATATTGCATGCAGTCTCAGTCAATGTGTCTTAATTAAAAAAAAAAAAAAAAAAAAAAAAAAAAGACAAAATGTGCA